AAAAAAAAGATAGAAAAGGAAACAGAAACCAGAGGCCAGGTAAGGTGGTGCACGGCCTGGGATCCCAGCGATCTAGGAGCCTGAGGCAAGAGAACTGCAAGTCTGAATCCAGGCTGGGTAATTTCACTTCCTTTTGGAGGGAGACCTGTCTCCAAAGAGAGAGAGAGAGAGAGAGAGACAGAGAGAGAGACAGAGAGAGAGAGAGAGAGAGAGAGAGAGAGAGAGAGAGAGAGAGAGAGAAAGAAAAGAAAGAGGAGCAGGCTGAGATGGATGAGATGTAGGTCGTGGTGAAAGCTATGTGTTTAATTCCCAGTACCACAAGAAACGAAAAAGGAACAGCTTAGAATGGACCCAAGGGTTAGAAGCAGCACAATTTTGTTAATTTAACACTTCTTGGCTATAGTTTCCTTCCACTACACATAGATCTATTTTGTAGAATGTTTTGGGTACTGGGAATTGAACTCAGGGCGAGCTTGCCAGGGAGGCGCTGTACTGCTGAGCTACATCCCCGGCCCTGTTTGTTTTGAGACAGGGTCTCACTGTGTAGCCCAGGCTGGCCTCGAACTCACAGAGATCTTCCTTGCCTCAGCCTGCCAAGTGCTAGGATTACAGGTGTTCACCACGCACAGCTAAGAAATTCTTTTCTTTCACTGCATGTGAGAGCAGTGAACCCAAAGGCAGCCTGAACTACGCAGTGACACCCTGTCTCAAAAACAAACAAACAAACAAACAAACAAAAAAAACAAAAAAAAACCCACACCTTTTTTCTTGTTCAGACAGGGGATTAAACCCACGGTTCTCTATCGCTCCCAACCCGTTTAGTTTTGAAACAGAGACTCGGTCACTGGCCCAAGCAGTCTTACAATTTAGAATCCTCCTGCCTCAGCCTCCCGAGAAACTAAGATTATAGGAATGTGCCGAGATGCCCAGATAAGACCACCTTTGTGGCCTGAAGGGGCTGAAGAGGAGGCACGTGGATGCCCAGGGGAAGATGGCTCAAAATAAACCAAAAGAAAACAAACAGTCCCTCCACTCGTGGTCCCTGCTACGGAAAGCAGAGGGCTTCACCCGGTTGGCAGCTCGCTGATGCCCCCTGGTGGCGGCGCGGCCGCAAAGCATTGTGGCGGCCTCCGCCTCCACCGTTGCTATGGAAAATGTTTCTTGCCAACCTGCTGTGTGCCGAGGGCCTTCCCGGTGGAGGACACGGGAGGAACAAAGGACGGCGTCTGTGCCCTGGTGGCACCTACAGAACAGGAGAGGTGACAACGGACGGGCCAGGTGAGGCAGGCTGCGTGGAGAGACACGAAGGGGACCCGCACCGAGCTGTGCTGAGGGGTGGGGGTGTCCCCGGGCGGGGGCGGACGGAAGCCGCGCTGCGCTGTGGGTACCTGGCGTCGTGGGCTGGTCTGTTAATTGACTTGCAGTGCTGGAGCTGGAACCCAGAACCTTCTCGCCACCCTGGGCGGGCGTGTGGCAACACAGCCACACCCCCTAGTTGGTTTTTTTTTTTTGAGCCGGTCACGTGGTATAGCCCAGGCTGGTCTCAAACTCAGGAGCCTCCAGCTTCAGCCTTTTTTTTTTTAGGGTTCCGGGAATCAAACTCAGCACCTTGCACTTGCCAGGCAGGTGCTTATGCCACTGAACTACATCCTCGGCCCAAGCCTCAGCCTCCTGAGTGCTGGCTTTACAGGAGTGTGCCACCATCTCCAGATCGTTTTATTTTTGAGATAGTATCTGGCTAAATTGTCCAAATTGGCCTTGAATTTGGGATCTCCTGTCTCAGCCTCGAGTGGATTACAAGGCTGTCACGGCACCGGGCTCACCCTGGGAAGTCTCTAAGCAGAGGACACCCTCGTGCCTCAGCTGTTCACAAGCAACTTCAGGTTTCCCAGGTTAGGGTGATTTTTAGGACCAGAGGTGCTGGCGGGGCCCCGAAGAACGAATGTAGGGCACGTTTGGTAGTACAGCACCAGGTACTGAGCTACACCCCTGGCCCCTTTTTAACTCTTTGAGACTGTGTCTTGCTAAATTGCCCAGGCTGGACTCAAACTTGCAATCTTCCTGCCTCAGCCTCCCAGTGCTGGGATGCTGGGTTGCACCACCATGCCGGGGAGGATCCAGAGTTTTTTGGATGGATGGGCATCTCCAGGAACAGGTGGGAGGCAAAGCCTGGGCTGCCCCTGTCCCCAACACGCCACTGACTCCCCCTGTGGCCCCTGAGAACAGCTGGCCCCCGAGACAGCATCAGAAATCTTTTATTAGAGGATCGTGGCTGTTTCCCAAACAGAAGCCTGGGCAGCAGAGGACAGTGATGACTGGTGACCCAGCGATCCCAGGTGACCAGTTCCCAGCTGGGGACCCTCTCCCTCCCAGGGGACAGGCCTGGCCACCTCTACCCCTCCCTGGACCCCTGGGCCTTTGGCATAATGCTGATGGGGGCTGCAGGCAGTGAACCCCTCGACTCGACTTGAAGCAGAGACGGGAGGCGCGCGGGAGCAGGGGCAGCGGAGGGCGGGGCGGGGCGGGCGCCTGGCTGGGGACAGCAGCGAAGTGGAGGAAGCCAGGCTGGGGAGACGGTGTCTATTTTGTTTCTGGACAGGGACGCACAGAGATCTGCAGGCCGGTGGGCAGAGGCCGGGCTGGTCAGGCACTGCTGTCCTTCTCGTCACCTGGCTTGGGGCTGGCGTCCAACAAGGGGTCCCCAGGACCCGCCTCCTCCCCCTCCTTGGGCTCACTGGCCTTGGAGTTGGGGACCCAGAGCCCCGAGTCGATGCACCGCTGCATGTGGTACTTCGCGTCCTGTGGGGACAAGGGTGGGCGGTGAGGCAGGGAGGCCACTGCCAGGTGGCCTGGCTGTCCCCTGCTCGCTGTCCACCCCCCAGAGGTGGCCGGGAGAAGTGTCCACAGTGGAGGACACGTCCTACTGGCCACCCGGTGCCATACTCCAGGGCCCAGCTCAGGGGTACTGCCAGGGCATTTACAGGACGGCTCCGGAAACGCAGCCAGAGCCTTGTCTGTGCTAAGCACAACTTAAACCCCAGCACCAGGGTCAAAACTTTCCATTGAGGCAGAGTCTGGCTATGTACACCAGGCCAGCCTTGAACTTGAAACCCCCATGCCTCAGCCTCCAGAGTGCTAGGATTACAGGCATGTGCCATCACACCCAGAGCCTCACAGGACAGGGAAGCCTGTCGCTGGCTACATCCCCAGCCACCCTCACTGTGTGGAGTTGCTGTTTTGGCTCTGCAAGCCGTGCCGTGACTGCTGTCACAGTGATTCAGCTCACTACTCCTTCAATCCGTGGTGGTGCTGCAAATTCGGCTGGAAATGATGTAACAAGCACTGCTGCATCCCAATAAAGCTTTATTTATAAACACAGGAGGGCAGCCTTCCAGCTGGAGATTGTAGACCCTGGGCTAGATGCTGTTTATCCCATGGAAGCTTCTAAAAGCCTTTGGCCACCACGCAGGAAGGACCACCTGCCTATGCCTGCTTCAAGGCCCACCTCACCGATGAGGAAACCAGTGTGGCCAAATGAAAAGCCACGCAGCAAGAATGGGGTTAAATCAAAGTCATTTCTTTTGGATTTTTTGTTTGTTTTGCTTTTTTTGGGGGGGTGTTTCTGGCTGTGTAGTTAGGCTGGTCTTGAACTCAGTGATCCTCCAGAGTGCTGGGATTAAGCCAGGCGTGGTGGCACATGCCTGTAATCCCAGCACTTGGGAGGCTGAGGCAGGAGGATGGTTGAGAGTTCAGTACCACCCGGGCTACAAAGTGAGCTCAAGGCCAGCCTGAACTGCATAGCGAGACCCTGTCTCAAGAAGACCAGAGTGCTGGGATTACAGGTGTGTGCCACTCCTGCCTCAAAGCCTATTAAGTCTCAACTGTACCCTGGCGTGTGGCACACGCCTGTAATCCCAGCATTTGGGGAGGCTGACGGAGGGACAGGAGTTCAAGGCTGGGTTGGACAACTCAGTGACTCAGTGAACCTTGTTTAAAAAGTGGAAAGGGCCTGGGTTACATTCTCAGTACCCCCCCCAACAAAGACCACTGCCGCTGCCCACAGGGCCGTCCCAGCCCCCACAGGACTGGCCGGGGTCGTGGCTGTACTCACGGTGGGGTCCATCTTGCTGATGGCATCCTGCAGCATCTGCACGTCCTTCACATCGAAGCACTTCTGCAGCTCCTGGGGGGCAGGGGGCAGGGTCAGGCCTGTGCCTGGAACCCGGGCTGCTCACTGCCTGCCTGTCACCCCCCGCCCGGGCCGGGGCCGGGGCTGGGGCCGCACCTCGGGAAGGGACTCGTAAACCTCGACGGGGTCCAGGCCACCAGGGCCCAGCCGCTTCTTGCGCTCCTCCTCCTCGTACTCCTTCATGGCCTTCTCGATGCGCAGCTTGGCCCGGCCGCGCACGCGCTCCTTGAAGGCCTCCAGCTCGTCGTTGAAGCCCTCCATGTACTGGCGGTCAGCCGTCTGCAGGGAGCGGGGCGCACACAGGACGGGGCCCAGTCTGCACGGGTACCCCACGGGCTCCACAGGCACCCTCGTCCCTCCCGTCTGAGACGTTCCGGTCTACCGGCTGAGCACCACTGCCTGTGCCCGCTCTCCCCAGACCGGGCCACTGCGTCCCCCACGGCCTCAAACGCAGCCCTGCGACCTCGGGCTGACGGCCCCCCCAGCCTCCTCGGTTTTGGGAAGGGGAGCTCGGTCTCTCCCTGTGCCCAGCTCAAAAGCCCCATTAACTCAGCCCCGCACCCCACACGGAGGCTTCTGGGCTCCCAGCTCAAACCGTGCCTGCCCTCCACCCACACCTGAGCTGTCTCGAGTCTGCGGGAGACCTGGCCACGCAGCCCCAGGCCCCACCTTGATCTTCGTGAAGAACTGCCGGAAGCAGGCGCGGGGGTCCACCTTCAGGCTCTTGGCCAGCTCCAGGATGAACTGCATGACGATGGTCTGGTGGGCCACCTGCTCCATGAGCGCGCACTTCTGCCGGGGACAGCGTGCAGCGTCGCTGAGTGGCCGTCAGGAGGCACCCACGCCGCCGGCCCAGCCCAGCCCGGCCCAGCCCGGCCCGGCCCGCTCACCTCCTCCACCTCTAGGTCGATGCACCAGATCACCAGGTAGTTGGCGGTCTCCTCGCACACCAGGTGCACGTTGTCGGACAGGTACTTCTGGCTGTCGTCCCAGCGGCGGAGCATGCCTGCGGGAAGGGGTTGGGGAGGTGCTGGCCGCGCCGCAGCCGGCCGCCCCTACCTGGCCTTGGCGCCCCGGTGCCACTCACCGAAGTGCTTGATCTGCTTCTCGTACTTCTCCACGAAGGTTTTGTGTTTTTGCTCCCTAACCTCCTCCGACTCCTCCTCCGCCTTCTCAGGCTTGGTATTGACCATGCTCTGCGAGAGGGCGACAGGGGGAGTGGGCTGGGGCAAGGCCTCAGGGTGCCCGGGGCCACGTGGGGGCCGTGGCCGCCTCGCCCATCCCATCCACGGTGGAGGTGGCCTCGGTGCCGGCGCCAGGAGCTCCAAGGTGGTGGAAGCGTGGGCCTTCGGGCAGATCAGAGGGAACGGGACGGATGGGGTGCACCATCTGTCAGCCCCTAACTACACCGTCCCCCTGCCGCCCGCCCCACACAGCTCTGGCTTTTCTTTTCTTTTTTTTTTTTTTTGGCTCTGGCTTTTCATGTTTCACCTGGCAGCACGGGGCTGGAACCGGGGCCTGCGCACTGAAAGGCCCTTTCTCTATCTTTTCAGACAAGGTCTTGAGTGTGTAGGGGAGGGAAAGAGGCTTGCTCTCTGCCGCTTTTCTTCCCTTTTGGCTCTTGTTGCTTTTGCTGTTTTCTGCTGCCCTGAACCGTTGCCCTGTGCCATGTGCCACTCTGCCTTGGAGCCAGCCAAATATGGACTGAAACGTCCACAAACTATGAGCTAAATAAACCTTTCCTTTCTTTAAAAAAAAAAAAAAAAAAAAAAAAAAGCTTGGGGATTTAGCTCAGCGGCACAGCGCCTGCCTGGCAAGCGCGAGGTCATGAGTTCGATTCCCGGTACCGGGTGTGGGGGGGTGGAAACAAGGTCTTGCAAAGTTACTAAGATGCTCAAACTGGGTTCAAACTTGTGATACTCTACCGCTTCTCGGCCTTTTGGCTAAGATCAAGTGCAAACTTGTGATACTCCTGCCTCAGCCTCTCACAGTGCTGGGATTACAGGCATGCACCACCATGCCCAGCTATTTTTATTGTCCTGCGGTACGTGGGAAGGAACCCAGAAGCCAGCACAGCGCTACACCACTGAGCGACCCAGCCCCCACCCCGCAGCGCTGGCTGCACATGCGCCCTGGCCGCGCACGCGCGCTGGCCTCCAGCGCCCTCTCCAGCGGGTGCGCCCGCGGTCCCGCATGGGCCAGCACGCACCTTGCTGAACCCGTCCTTGCTGAGCGTGTCCACGTTCCAGGGCATGCTCTTCTCCTTCTTGCGCATCTCCTCCAGCTTCTGCTCCCAGCTCCGCTCCTCCTTTCGCAGCTGCTGCGCCTCGGCCTGCAGCCGTTCCCGCTCCGCCTGGCCACCCTCGGCCACCTCCAGCTCCTTCAGCTTGCGCTGGCACTCGGCCACCTTGCGCTTGCATTCGCGGCAGCCCCTGTCCAGCTCCTCCTTCTCCTTCTGGAACTGCTCCATGCGCTCCACTCGGGCCTGCGGCGGGGCCGGGGCAGCGTCACGCACGCAACTCCGCCACGGTCTCCCGGCTTCCTCCCTCGCCCGTGGGCCCCGGGCGTACCCTGGGTGGCACAGGTCCTGCCTCTGCTCCACTCCCTCTGCGGCGTCCACCTCACTGAGACAGAGCAAAGCCTGGGTCCTCACTGTGACGCACGAGGCCCTGCACATCTGCCCAGTACTAGGGATTAAACCCAGGGTCTCACAGAATCGCTCTTGCCCACCCAGGCTGACTTGAACTCGGGATCCTCCTGCCTCAGCCTCCCAAAGTGCTGGGATTACGGGTGTCTGCAATCATGCCTGGCCTCAACTTCCACTCTTGCCCTGCTGTGTCTTTCTCATTACTGGCTGCCTAGTAACATCTTGGGGTATTTATCTGTTACGTTTTCAGCACTGTTCCCCTCCAACGATATCAGCTCCATGAAGACGGGGACGTGCCTGCTGGTGCACCTCCAGGCCTGGCTTGGTCGGGGCTCAGGAAACGTGGGGCAGGTAGGGAGATGCTGGGCAGGGGCCATCTGTCCCCAGTTCTACTTGCTGCCTTTGACTGAAGCCCTCACAGATACCTGAGGCCACCTCTGCCTGCTATCCCACGGCCAGCTCCATCCCCCCTCAAAAGGAACCGCAGGGCCGGGCACAGTGGTGCAGGCCTGCAATCCCAACACTCCGGGAGGCCCAGGCAGTAGGGTCACAAGTGTGAGCCCAGCCTAGGTGACTCAGTGACTTAGCTAGACCCTGTCTCAAAATCAGAATGGGGCTCAGCGCTCCCTGGGCTCAACTCCCAGGATCCCAAGGGAAAAGACCAGACTGGGACCCTGGTGAGCTGGGCGCTGTCTGCAGGGGCTGAGGCAGAGGAGACTAACAACGCGCAAAACTCAGGCTGTGCTGGACCCCCGGGCAGCACCACTCCTGTGCCAGCTGTCGCCGTTGCCATCTATGCCAGGGGACAATCCGTCTCTCGAACTGTTCTGAGGCTTAAAGAAAGGAACCTCAAGCGCTTCCATCAGTCTCTGGCCGGGAGGAAACGGCTGGTGATTGAGAGCCCTGTCACCCATCTGTGACGCCCCCACCCCACCCCGCCCTGCCACTTCCAGGTCACCTGGTTGGTCGCTGAAGCCTCTGGGCCTTGATTTTCCGCTCTGTGTAATGGGGCCTCCCAGGGCTGCTGGGAGCACTCCGTGTGTGACCGCACCAAGAATGTGTCCTACACAGTGCTGGGTCACCCGTCCTTGTCACTGCCACCACAACGGCCCTACGACTCAATTCTGTGCCCGCTCGGAGGCAGCGTGCCCAGGAAGCACACAGCCGGGCATAGGGCGGGTGACACCCAGGTCTGTGCCACCCTGGGGCCTCTGGGATGCTCTGCCTTGAATTTTTGATCCTCCTGCCTCAGCCTCGAGAGTCATTGGGGTTGGCATTGGGCTGACCCCGGGCAGCAGCAGAAACCTGACACCCAGCTGGCTTCTGGGGCTGCCGCTGCCCTCCCCAGTGTCCTCTGAGTGGTCGCCAGGGACTCCAGGGCTAAAAAGGGCCTGCTGGAGTGGAGGAGGGGGCAGCCTGCCCAGCCTGGGCTTTTACACCTACTATGTGAGAGGGGCTGGAGCAGGCAGAAGCTATGAGAGTGAGAAGGCTCCGCAGGCGGCACTGTTCTCCTGCCTCACACATGGGGAAACTGCAGCTCCTTGCAAGGACCCCGAAGAAACCACTGATGGCAACTGTCTCCTTCCTGGCCCGGCTTCCCTCAGTGGTGGGATTACAGGCTGGATTTTTTTTTTTTTTTAAACATAAACAACCATTACCTAAATAATGGTAACAGCCGCTGTCACCCCAAAAGCACTCCCAGCATTAAACGAACAAGAAACCCTGACTGCAACCCTATGCAGGCAGGGGGAGGGGGGAATGAATCCTATTCACATTCTCAGCTGGGGAAGCCAAGGCACAGAGAGGTCAAACGCCTTGCTGGACATCACACAGCGCAGCAATGATACACAAGGAGCCGGAATTTGAACCCAGCAGGTGGTCAGACCTGTGCTGGGAACCAAGACCCTGATTACTGACTTTTACCTAATTCCTGCTCCATCTCCAGACCACTAACTGCCTCCTAGGTCCTGCCCTAAACTCTTTTCAGAGCTGGGGTCATTTCCTCCTGCTTTAAAATCTGAGACAGGGTCTCACTATGCAGTGCAGCCTGGCCTCAAACGCAGAGCAATTTCCTGCCTTGGCCTCATGACTGCCGGGATAACAGGTGCTCCACTATGCCTGGCTCACTGCAGCCTTTATTTTGGAACCCGGGGACTCATGCCTGCCAGGCAAGTATTCACTCGGAGCTACACCCCCACCCCTCACTGCAGCCTTCCAAGGGTCTCACAGGGCCGGGGCCGCAGGACCCTCCTCCTCTCAGCACCATGGGCCTGAAGCAGGAAGGGGCAGGGCTGGCACAGAGCCCTCTGCCTCCCCTCCTTCCTCCCGTGTCCACAGCAGCAGGACCGGAAATGGCTCTGTGCCAGGAGAAGGGGGGGCCTCCCACCTGAGCCCCAAACTGCTCTCCACAAGGTAGTAAGATTAACCTCTCTGTGTGACACAAGTAGGTGTTCCCTAGAATAGTCTTCAGAGCTTTGCGGAGGTCTTAAACATTTCATAATAAAACACTAGACACAGCAAGAAATAGAAGTGCTAGAACTTTCTTCCCACACTCCCGTGGCTTACCCAGCAGGTTCTAACAAAGGGGGAGGAATTTCAGGAATGGGTTTGGAGGTGGGACAGAGGGCCACAGGTAGGGGCTAATGGCACACCCCCCTGAAGGATGGGGAAAGGCCTTCTAGAAGATTCCAGATGAGTAACTTCGGATTCCCATGGGAGGGTGGGGTGACCGGTTCTTCACTAGAAGGCTCTGAGAAGGCTCCCTCAATCTGAGTAACAGGCACGAGTACGTGGGCACAGGAACTCTGATTTAGGGGCGCAGGAAGTTAGACCATTAGACCTTCGGGCTCTACTGGGCAGGAAGGGGCGTGGCAGAAAATAGACCAACCAGGCTTGGGATTCCAGAGTCTCGATGGGGGGAGGGGATCCCCATGTGGGCAGATTTTTTTTAGAAAGGGGCAGTGAGGGTGGTGAATTTGTAATAAGGCCAAAAGGTCCCTGATGGAGAGCCGCAGAGGAGGATGGGAAGAGAAGGTGCCAGGGTGCGTGTTTGGGCCCAGGGCTTCGCTTGGGCGAGGGTTTCCACTGCTGGGGTTCAGTCAGGAAGGCGGGGGGGCGGGCGTGATGGGGTCTGCACTCGTGAATAGGGACAAGGCACTGGCTGGGCAGGAAGCTAAGTGGGCACGACTTCCCTGTGTAAGGGAGGGCAGGAGGGGCACCTAAGGTGAGCGGCTGGAAACGGACGCTCCCGCAGGGCACAGCGGGAGGTTGACACACGGAGGGGGACCTGGCTCCAAACCCCCAAGTCTTAGGTAGGAATTCAGACTCTGATGGGGCATGGTCTACACTGCAGGAAGTGGGTCCCAGGCCAGGAACAGAACCGCAGGTCGCGCTGAGTTCAATTTGGAAAAGGAGTGGGTTCTCTGGATCTTGAATGGGACTCTGGTCAAGACCTCGGGAAGCAGAGCCGAGGACTGATTATATCGTGCCGGGTGTGATGGGGCACAGCGCACACCCGGGATCCCAGCACTCAGAAGCCTGAGACAGGAGGATCAGGAGCTCCGGGCCTAAACAGCGACTGTCTTAAAAGAAAAAAAATACGGAGGGTTCTGACTATAAGGGTTGGAGAGAGCTCAACGGAGGACCCCAAATCAGAAGTAGGTACCTGAATAGGATCGGGGACCATCTAGCAGAATTCGGGGTCGAGACTCTGAGGCGGGACTCTGGGTGGAAATGAAAGGTGCACATAGAACTGGGGGTCTCCCCAGGCTCAGTGTGGAAATACAGACTAAGACGAAGCCCTAAGGTTCCAACGGGAAGTTCCACGCAGAGAACCGAGGGAGGGCCCTGGAGATCGCGGGGTCCCAGAAGTACTGGGGTCCGGAGTTGAATCGAGGGATCTGTAAAGTCTAGCGTGTGGGGCAGGAAGCCCAAGTGTCCGGCCAGGAACCCTGGGCAGCACCAGGGGTCAGAGCTTTGCAGAATTCGGGGTCCCGTGAGGGGGGAAGGCTGGGCGCGCACGCTCTACCTGGTGCCGCCAGCGGAAGAGGCTGGCCGTGTCAATGTTGGGGTGCGTCTCGTCCTCATCGTCAGACACCTCGATGTGGTCCCACACGCTGTAGTCCACCATCTTGCCTCGGCGGCCCAGCCCGCTCCCTCCCCGGTAGCGGCGGCAGAGGAGGCGGCAGCAGCACCGAGACTCGGCCCGCAGCACCCCGCCCCTTCCGCTTCCGCTCGGGCGCACACGCCCGGGCGCGCGCGACGTCACATCCTTAGTAACCCCCGCGGCGGCCCTGGCAACCGGGCCCGCCTTAAAGGGCCCTGAGCACGTGTTCCAGAGCTCCGGGAGTTCCCGCCGCGACCCCTTCTCATCAAGTGGAGTTTCTCTTGGGCGCTTCCTCTGGGCAGACGAGTGGTCGCCCTAGCCACTAGCCCTCGTCATCTTTCGCTACGTTTGACGAGACTGAGGGGAGGATTGTCCTGTTGCCACGCCGCAGTGACATCAGCAAGGACCCACTGCAGGAGGCGGGGCCTCGGCTCCGCTCGCTGCCCCTGGCGAAGGCGGACCTAGGGAGGATTGCCTGACCTGTGGCGACTTGCCCAGTCAAAGGGTGACAAGGGGCGGGGTGTGACCCTGCCCTCCAGGGAGTTCGAAGGTGGCCGTGATGGTGGCCCTGCCCAAGTAACTGGTGTTTTCTGGGCTCCGAACGCAGACCTCCCCCGCCCCCTTCTCCAGCGACCCTCGGGCAAGAACCTGCGTGCGTGCACCCCGCTGGAATCCCCTCGGACCCTCGGACCCGGCCTCGGACGCCGTCCCTCCGCGGCCGCTGAGTGGCGCTGACGTCTAGCCAGCGACCTGAGCCGGCCCAGGAGTCGGGGATCGTGGAGGCGCCGAGGGGGGCTTCCCTTGTCACAGCAGTCTAAGCTGCTCGTAGCCTTTCCCTATTTTTCTGGGGCCCCCAACCTCGACCGGGGCTTGAAGGGTTCCACCCAGCTTGGGGGAGCTGGTGCGCACGCTTTTCTACATCCCAACCCACGCTTTGATATAAGGATAAAAAGCCGTGTTGTAGCCTGGGGCCGGATTATCTCAGATTAAAGGATGGGGCTCGGCTGGGGGAAGAAGGGAGGGAGGGGTTCCAGCCACCCGGGTGAGGGGCGCCTCTTCCCTGCCTCCTGCGAGCTGGGGGAGGGGGTCTGCAGGGGAGAGAGTAAAAGGCTCCAGATGGAGAGGGATTCCCCGGCCTGGGCGGGGGAAGGGCCGTGCAGACAAAAGCGCGCTCCCGCGGCCGCCCCTCCCCCTGGCGCTCCATTCAAGCCGGAGAGTGGGCGGGCGGGGATGGGGGAGTCCCCTCCCGGCCCTTTCCTCCCCTTCCCCTCCCCCCCAGCCCCGGAGTCCAGCGCTTTCAGTGGCCGTCACAGCCCGGGCACGCGCGTTCCCCGACCAGCACGCGGCTGGTCTCACAATCGTGCTTACACACATTCATTCACACGCACGCACGCGCGCACACACACGCACACCAGCAAACAAAGGGTCTGGACACCCCTGTCCCCCACCCCCGGCCGAGGAGAGGGGGGCGTCCCCTCCCTATCCCCCCCTGCAAGGTAAGCTTTGGCCTGGGAGCTGCGGTGGGGAGGGGCCCAGCGCCGAGGAGAGAGGGGATCAACTAGTGGGGGGCTTTCCCTGCTCCCCAGAAAACCGCCCCCCCCCGTTTGCTCTTTGCGAGCTTCCGCCACTCTCTTGGGCTTGGGTCGATAGAGGGGGCGACCTGGGATGGCGGAGCGTCCCTATTAAGTGCGAGGGTTTCTCCTCACTTTAGGAGACTGGAGCTGCCTGACACCCGCGAAACAGGGTCTCAGGAGCTCCCTGTCCGGGCCCCGGAAGCTTCCTCCATCCGCGCCGGGCATTTCCTAATCTCCGCCGGTGCTGCGTCGCCAGTCGAGCCCCGGAGTAACTTTGCAGGACCCCTCGGCCTCCCATCCCCGGACCCCGCATCAGTTCATCCTGCCGCGTCTCGTCCCTGTGGAGGGGGTGTAGGGAGGGCTGGAAACGCTTTGGGGTCTACTCCTGCTGCTTCTGGTGCATCCCACAGCCTACACCATTCAGCTGCGCCCCCACCCCCAAGCCGCAAGCCGCTTTGCCTTCCTGGGCCTCAATTTCCCCAGCTGCTAAGGGAGTAATGAATGACACATTGAGAATTCGGGGAGGCCGAGCTTACCTTGACTTCATTTACTTATTTGTTTGTTTTTAGCTTATTTCGTGCGCATTCCCCACCTAGGTACTACATATGCCAGGCTGTGTCCAGGCTTCTCAGGGCTGCAGCAACCAATCAGACCAGCAGGGTGTCCCAGCGCCTGGCTGGGGAGAGAGCCAATCAGTAGATAAACAAAACAGCCCTGGTGATTTCAGACTGAAAAGCAAAATCCCTTCCTCAGGCAGAGAGACTAGTGGGAGACGGCACTGAAATGTCTGACTCTTGTCTACCTTCTTCCTTTGCTTTGAGCTCAGTGAGGGCAGGATTAGGCCTAGGACAGTGCTGGGGACACAGTAGGTGCTCAGTAAATATCCAGGGACTTAAAGAATGGATTTGACTCAAAGTGGATCCAGAGAATTTGAGATCAGGAAAGAGACTTATAAAGCAACCCAGTCCCTTCCCCTTTTACACAAGAGTTCAGTGAGTCTTCAAGTGTCACCTTTCATATGAAAGTGGGGAAGGCTGGCCAAGTGTGGAGGTGCGCTCTGATAATCACAGCACTTGGGAGGCTGAGGCAGTAGGATTTCCATGAGTTTCAGCATAGCCTGGGCTACATAGTAGGACCCTGCCTCAAAAAACAAGCAAAAATGAAACCTGGCCTGTAGTGGTAATCCCAGTACTTGAGAGGCTGAGGCAGAAAGAGAGCGTGAGTTTGCGACCACCCTGGGCTACATAGTGAGTTCAAGGCCAGCCTGCACTACATAGTGAGACCCTGTCTCAAAAAAAAAAGCAAGCAAGCTGAAGACATGGCTATGAACAACTGAGAAAGGAACCCAGGAATTCACGATGCCCAGCCGGTGCCCACCTTTCCCCATACACATACATACATTCAACCATGTATCTAGTGCCTATGTGTGCCAGGGGCTGAGGGCACAGCATGGGCCGAAACAAAGCTCCCTGCCCCCGAGAGAGCTGATATTTGGTGCAAGAAACAAAAACAATGACATAAGCAAATTAAATATACCAACAAATTTTAATGAAGGGCCTGCGTGCTTAGCAAGTTCGGGGCCCTGGGACAATCCTCAGCACTCCCAAAAAGAAAAAATTTGTGATTAAACTGGGTGTGGTTGCTCACCTCTGTAATCCTTGCACTCGGGAGGCTGAGGCAGAAGGATGGAAAGTTTGAGCTCAACTGGGTACTTTAGTCATACGGGCTCAGTGTCATACGCTGACGTGGGTTACTCCTGCCGCTCTGATCAGATCTCAGCAACGCACCAGAGTCACAGGACGTTCCACCTTCTGGCCACCTGGGAAGCCTCATTGGCGCTTCTGCCCCGTGGGTGTGTGCGCACATGCGCACAGGGATCCCCCCGGGCTGCCTGGGCTCTGGGCCTGGGGCTCGGGTGAGTGTAAATGCTCCAGGGCTCAGAGCGAACCAGGCTCCCTTTGGGCTGGGTTTCCTCTTCCTGAGCGTGCTCGGTCATCGGAACCCCTGCCCCAGTCCAGCTGTTATCCAGAGGAGAAGGCAGGCTTAGGGTGGAGCCTGCACGCAGTTCCTGAGGCCCTGTCTCCCGTGCCTGGGTTTCTACCTGGTTGATTTTTGGTAAGGTGCACATTCATCTGCACAGAGGCGGATGTGGGTCTCTACCCTGGTCTGTGGGGCCCTGTGCTGTGCACTCCTTCATTTCCTAATTGTGGAGCACCTGCCATCACTGTCCCAAGCACCTGGGACTCAACAGCATTCATGGGACCAAAGGGCAGGCAGGGCATGGCAATGGACACCTGTAATCCCAGCACTCAGGAGGCTGAGGCAGGAGGAATCCCTGCAAGTTCAAGGCGAGCCTGGGCTACATAGCAAGACCCTGTCTCGAGACCAAGCCAGTCACGCACGCTGGTGTACACCTGTGATCCCAGCACTCAGGGAGATGAAGCAGGAGGATCACCAGGAGTCTGAGGCCAGCCTGGGCTACATAGTGGGTTCAAGGCCAACCTATACTACATAAGGAAAACTTGTCTCAAAAAAAAAAAAGAAAGAAACCAAACCAAAGCAAAACCAAAAAAACCCAGGGCAAATACAAATAAGTGAAAAGTCAAAGTTTCTTTTCTAAATGATGAAAAACTGATAGAAATGCGCTGGGTGTGTGGTGCTGTAACCTCAGCACCTGGAAGGCTAAGGCAGTCTGAAGCTGGTCTGGACTGTATACAGAGAGCCTGTCTCAGAAAGAAACACACTAGCCGGGCATGGTGGCACACGCCTGTAATCCCAGCACTCGGGAGGCTGAGGCAGGATCATTACTAGTTCGAGACCAGCGTGGGCTACAAAGTGAGCTCAAGGCCAGCCTGAACTGCATAGCGAGACCCTGTCTCAAAAAGAGAAAAAAAAAAAGAAAGAAAAAGAAAAAACACACTAAAGCAACAGTAGAACGTCAGACCTTCAAAGCATGGGGACCTGTGCGCCTGTCCGGGTTGTATGTTCATAGCTGGCCCTGGCTACAGCCGGCAATGAGACAGGTAAACCCCGCCAGGCCCTGTGAACCTAGGGGTGGGAAGGGAGCAACAGATGAGACTGTAGAAGAAAAATAAAGCTGAGAAGGGGGTTGAAGGTGATGGGGTTGGGAGTGGTTCCCTTCTCAGGGGAGGGGGTGAACCTGGGCAAAGACCAAATAAAGATAAATAAATCACATGAACTCACTCTTCTAAGAGCGACTGGTCGAGCATCGACTATATCCCAGCACGGTCCGAGGTCACCCAGGGTCCAGCAGAGAAGGAGACAGGTGAACACCCCAACCTCATCAAAGGGGTTGTGGCTCAGTGGTGGGCGCTGCTGGCTGCAGGAGGCCCTGCGTCCATCCCACCCCTCGGACGACAACAACAACCAAGACAGGCAATAAAGGGTCTGGGGATTTAGCTCAGCAGTGCAGCGCCTGCCTGGCAAGTGCAAGGTTGTGAGTTCAATTCCCAGTACCGGAAAATAATAATAAAAAAAAAAAAGACGGGCAATAATTACTAAACCAGCTGGGCATGGTGACACATGCCTGCAGTCCTAGCACTCAGGAGGCTGAGGCAGGAGGATTGCCACAAGTTCAAGGCCAGCATGGGCTACATAGCAAGACCCTGTCTCAAATAGTAATAATAATAATTATAATAATAATAATAATACCTAACTGATAAGGGACTCATTTATCTTTATCGTGTTAGAATATAAGTTTAAAGCAAATAGATGAAACAAAAGGAGCACCAGGAGAGTAGGAAGAGAATGAGATATTTAAAACTTGTTTTTCAGATGGCAGGAAGAGCACATGCAAAGGCCCAGAGTTCAGATTATTCTTTAAGTATGAGGAACAGCAGGAGCAGGTGGGGTGAGGGGAGGTCTCCTCGGTGCATGTGTTGTCCTGAAGGTCTGCCTATAGTTCCATATGAGACAGCAATGTAAGTAAGGCAAGCATGGTGCTGAACACCTATAATCCCAGGACTCAGGAGCCTGAGGGAGGAGGATCACAGCAAGTTTAAGGCCAGCTTGGGTTCAATAGTGAATTTAAGACCAGCCTGAACTACACTGTGCGCCCCTGTCTCAAAACACTAGAACCAAAAACAATGGCAAAAAAGCCAGGCATGGTGGCTCATCCCTGTAATCCCAGCACTCAGGAGGCTGAGGCAGGAGGATTGCTGTGAGTTCGAGACCAGCCTGGGCTACATAGTGAGGTCAAGGCCAGCCTGAGCTGCATAGTGAGATCCTGTCTCAAAAAGACCAAAAAAAAAAAAAAAAAAAAAAAAAAAAAAAAAAAAAAAAAAAGGCAAAAGTGATGATAACATGTTGTTATTACCAGGACGGTGGGTGCCCCTTCGTGGGTATCTGTTATGAACCTGGCACTGTACACAGAACTTTGTATGCATTGCTTCCCTTCACCCTTCATGCTCACAGCCACCTCTGCAGAATGCTACCCCCACCCTGCAGATGAAGAAACTGAGGCCCAGACATGCTGGGTAATTTGCCCAAGGTTTTACAGCCAGGAAGTATCAGGCAGGCTTTGAATGCAGATCTGCGGGCAGAATTCTGGAGCCTGGGCAGGGTTTTTTGGTTTTGCTGCTGTTGTTTCTGGTGAGCTGGGGATGGAATCCAGGGCTTGGTCTATGCTAGGCAAGTGTTGTACCACTGAGCTACATTCCCAGTCCGTTTTGGTTTTATTTTGTGACAGGTGCTTGCTAAGTTGCCCAGGCTGCCATTGAACTTTTTTTTTTTTTTTTGGTATGGAGAATCGAACTCAGGACCTTGCACTTGCCAGGCAGGCGCTATGCTCTGAGCTATATCAAAGCCCGAACTTTTTTTTTTAAATTAAAAAAAATATTTTGTCGTTGGGGCTGGGGATTTAGCTCAGCGGCACAGCACCTACCTGGCAAGCACAACGTGGTGAGTTCGATTCCGGGTACAGGAAAAAAAAAAAAAAAAACAAAGAAAAAAGGAAAAAAAAATATTTTGTTTTTTAGATAAGATCTCATTGCTGAGGCTGGCCCTGAGCTCATTTTGTAGCCCAGGCTGGCCTTGAACTCACAATGATCCTCCTGCCTCAGCCTCCCGAGTGCTGGGATTACAGATGTGTGTCACTATACCTGGCTGTGTAGCTGGAATTGCAGGCATGCAGCACACAGCCCATTCTCTGCCCAAGCAAATCTAGCAATCTGTACGCAGGGTGGTTGTCTTTCTTTCTCTCCCTTCCCCTCTCTACCTCCCTCCCGCATCCTTTGAGCTGGCGGGGGGCATGATGAATGGGTACACTTTCACATACATCAAGAGTCACTTCTAACTGATATGAAATCAAGTCCTAGCTACTGCAATAAAGCAAGAAAAAGAAATTAAATACAGTTAGAAGGAAGTAGTTCCAGCATTCTCTAGCAGAGTGAGATAACTGTAGCCCGCAACAGTTTCTAGCTGGGTGCAGGTATGTGCCTCTTGTCCCACCTACAGGGGAACCTGAGGCAGGACGCGGTGCCCCATGCCTATAATCCCCGCCCTTGGGATCCTGAGGAAGGAGGATCTGTGATTTCGAGGCCAGCCTGGGTTACATAGTGAGACCCTGTCTCAAAACAAACAAAAAATTAAACTAAAAAATACAGGGGCTGAGGATATACTCAGTTTGAAGACCCTGGGTTTAATCTCCAGTACCCCCACACACACACACACACGTGCGCAGACACGCAAAGATGGGGGAGCAGGGCAGGTGAGGAGAGACGCAAGCAGAGCCTGCAGGAGGTGTGCGTGACCTGTGCAGATCTGGCAGAGGAGCCCCGCGTGCTGGGAACGAACGGTGCACAGGCGCTGAGGCCGCGGCACGCCCGGTGTGTGCGGAGCTGCACAGCGCGGCGGCGGCAGCTGCGGGCATCGAGGCGACCGGCGCATTCCGCAGGGCGGTGGAGACCAAGCGCCGAAGACTGACTTTTCCTCTAAGCGACAGTGAGATCCACCGAGGGGTCTCAGCCGAGGAAGGACACGAGCTGACGGGCTCTGACGGGCTCCAAGGGGCTTTATCAAGCACGTACTGATTTCCAGACACGGTGGAGTTCAAACAGGCTTGATCACATTTCGTTCTCACAAGGGCTCCCAAGCCCGGGGAGTTTGTCAGGGGCCAGGGTCAGACACCCGGAGTCTTCCGGGCTGGGCGGGTGCGAAGGTGGAGGAGCCAGCCTGTCCCTCCCCTAAGCTTTCGGAGGAGCGGCGGCAGCAGAGCGAGCCCTTCGGCGGGCTGCGTCTGCGTCCCTGTCTGTTTCTATTTCCACCGGCCCTGTCTGTCTCCGCGCGTCCCCATCTGTGCCCAGAGCCGCCGCCGTCTCTCTGCGCCCGGCCCCCGCACAGCCGAGCTATTTCGGGTTTAGGCACCAAAGCCCAACAGCTCGGAGAAGACGCTTCCTCCGGCCCCCGGCTCGGACCACGCGCAGCACGCGGCCAGCTCGGGGAGCTCCCGGGCTAGTCTGTGGGATCCCCGCGCGGGGAAGCCCCCGGGAGGAGGAGGGGGCTGGGGCGATTCGGCCCCCCAGCGGCCGAACCTGGCATTGACGCTGCCCGGGGCTCCGCCGTGCGTCAGCTGTTGTCCTGGCAACGACAGCACACGTCATCGGCAGGTCGTGCGTCAGCCTCTCGCTGACGTCACGCCCCAGGAGAGGCAATGGGCGAGGGGCTTGGCGGGTTCCAGGCCGGGCCGGCAGGGGGAGCCTCTAATGAAGGATGCCTTCGCTTGATCCTGCAGGTGGCCCTGGCCTGAGGCGACATGGCTCCCGCAAACCCCACCTCACTGACACTCTAGGTTGGCGGGATGAAGAGGAGTTGCAGTTTCCTGTCTGTGGCCGGGACCGGGGACGAGGTGCGAGGTGCAGGGCCTTATTGGGGGCGGGACCGAGACCACAGTGGGCGGAGTTTGGGAACAGCGGGTGTTTAGTCCTCTGTGGGCGGAGCTAAAGCCGCAGTGGGCGGGGCAGAGACGAGCGCCCTCTGGTGACCAAGTCTGTTTCCTGAGAGTGGCCAGGAGGCGTGTCCACATTTTTGGCCTCAGTTTACTCCTTTGACTCCACTTTTCTTCTGCAGCCCAGATCAACATTCTCTCAGCCTTGGGTTACGAAGCACAAGATCCTTCTCAGGGGGCTTCTCAAGTGGGGAAAGATTTTGTGACAAGGTCTCACTATGTAGCTCAGACTGGCCTCAAACTCGACAAGTTTCCCTTGTCGCAGCTTTGAGGATTTGGGCCAGAAAGTGGAGGGCCACTGGGGTGAGATTTTTTTTTTTTTTTTTTTTCGGTACCGGGAATGGAACTCATGATGTTGCGCTTGCCAGGCAGGCGCTGTGCCCCTGAGCTAAATCCCCAGCCCCTGGGGTGAGATCTTGAGTGTCCCACTCGTATGGGGAGGAGGGGACCACTAACGTTAAGGCCAAGGGGCATCCTCTAGGATGTTGAGGCTCCGAAGAGACCCTACCCACATCAGCTAGCTGCTTGCTCTGATGGCGAGGTGGGAGCGTTCCTGGGGGAGGGGCTCAGTCTTTGCAGGCCGGGCCGCTCCCCATCCCACCCGTGTCCCTCCACAGAGGCCCGGGGAGACCCCGGAGGCCGGCCGCACCAACATGCGTCGCCCTCGCCGCCGCCTCTCGTCCGGTCCCGGCCTGGGCTGGGCCGGTCCTGAGCCCTCGGATCCTGGTGTCCCTCTGCCCCCACGGCCCACCACGCTGCCGCTGCTGGTCCCGCCGCGGATCTCCATCACCAGGGCGGAGGCCAACAGGTAGGGAGGAGGGCACCCAGACTGGGAAGGTGGGGAGGCACAGGGCCAGCTGGTCAGGGACAGCCAGCAGCCCTCGGACTGCTCCGGACTTCCAGTTTTGCAAAAGTAGCTGAAACTCGGAACTCTATCGGGCGAGACTGTGACATCCCTCCCCTTTCTACTTCAGGCGCCTTTGAAGCCTCCCCCGAGCCCCCCCCCACCTCTTTTTCTATTTTTCCAAGCTGCCTGGGTCAGCAAGGTGCTGTACAGAAATCTGGGGTCCTCCCAGAGCACCCTCCCCCTTGGTTCCAGGATGAGTAGAAAAGACAAACAGCGGAGCTGGCCTTGGTTGCTGGTCTGCCCTCTGCCCGCAGACCACCGCTCTCTGCAGGCCCCGCGTCGTCCCGCTCACTCTATGCCCTCCCAGTGACTCCAAAGGTCAAACCCAGGGTCCCTCTTTGGTCCTGATACCAGGGCCCACTTCCGGATGGAGACAGAAGTGACTGTCATTCCTCCCTGCGCCCTTCCCCCATCCCTCTGGCTTCTGTTTGGTTCAAGTCCAGCCAGGTCCATCTCGGGACTCCAGCCTCAGCTCCAAATGACAGCCCTGGCCCACTGCCTCGTCCCTTCCTTCGGCAACCCCTCCCCCCTCCCCATCCCCCAGCAGAGCTCTGGCCGCCCAGGGCCTGAACTTTGTAGAATTCAGCCCGGCTCGGGACGTTCAAATGACCCAGGGAAGCCCTGCGGCCTTGGAGATCACTTAGAAGCCTTGGGGGAGGAGAGGGTCACACTTCTGGCCTCTGGGATACCCCGCGGCTGCTGATGGGGGGCCAGTTCTTGCTCCGCGTTCGCCCACGCCAAGAGCCCCCTCCGGCGGGGAGGAAAGTGGTTGTGGAGGTTGGAAGAGGGAAGGCTCTTTTCTTTTTTTTATAAAGAGAACGGCGGGGGGCGGGGGGCTGTGGCAGAAGGCACGGCCTGCCCCAGGGAGCCCGGAGTGGGGGTACGGGGGTGCGGGTCCGGCCCCCGGAGCGCGGAGCTGAGCGGTTTCGGGTCCGAGCGGGGATCGCTCTGGGAATCACGGGGGCCATGGGCACCCCTACCCTGCAGCCCGCCGCGGCCTGGGGGATGGGGGAGCGCTCGGATCCCGCTTGTTCTTTGCTCGCTCAGCGCGGCGCTGGGGGAGGCGGGAGCGTGAGTCACGGCGACTCCCGATTTAGGTGCCGGAAGGGGGTTTCTGCCGGCGGAGGCCGCCGGGAGGAGGCTCGGCTGTTTACTTGCCTGAAAAGGGCACGGCGGTGCGCCCCAAGGCCACCAGGACCTGCCTCAGTTTACCTTCAGATGAGCTTTAGAAGAGACAGAGATACATAAAGCGGTGGGCGGGCAGCTGCAGTGTCCGCCACAGGGCGTCCTCCTGCAGCCACACCGGGAACCAAAGGCACACACCCCAGAGACCTCCCAAAGAGGCCCCGGCACACACAGATCCCCTCTGACACTACAGACGATGGAGGCTCAATCGCGTGCACAGCTCTGCAAGCACGCGCTGAACACAATGCACAGCGGCGCGCGTGGGCACACAGAGCGCAGCCCCCAGACCACCGCAACAGACCCCGGAGACGCGCACGCCCTCCAAACGCGCGGCGCACGTGCGCGCACAGCCCTCACCCACAGACACGCAGAGGCGCACACACGGCAAAACACAGAGAAACAGGCAGACAGGAGCAGCCAACCACGTGCGCACACACATTTCCAGCCAACATCGAAAACATAGACAGCACTAGGAAGGTGCCACGTGCGCGCACACCCCGCCCGGGCGCGCACTGTCACCCTCCTCCGCCCCGCAGCCCGGCGATCCCCGGCAGCCCGCCACAGCCTGCCGCAGGCTCCGTGCGCGTGGCATCGGGACCCCTCCCCAGGAGCTTCCCCCGGGCGCCGGGTATCGCCGAGGACACGCCAGCACCCGGCTCCGCCTCCGCCGTGATGGACAGACTGACTAACGCGCAGGCAACCAGTCCGGTGTCTTCTGGCCGATCAGATTAACCGTTTAACTCCTTCGCGCCCGTGCGCGCCGCTGTGAGGCTGGGCGCTCCGGCGAGAGTTGAGTGCCGGCGCCCCCTCCCCGCGGGAGCAGGGCTCTGCGTGGGCGGAGAGGGCCCCCCTCCTTGGGTGGCTGCCCCCCACTGGCCCGGACGGAGGAGGAGAGGGGCGGCGCTGACAGCCGCGGCGGGCGGGGGGCAGGGAGGGGCGGGACGGGGCGGGGGAGTCGGGGCTGGCGCCGAACGCGGAGAGCGCAGCCGGGCTCGGAGCCGAGCACCAGGAGCGGACAGGAAGCCACGGCGCCCGGCCCGGGGGCGATCGGCCCGCAGCGCCCCCGGGTCTGTCCCCGGGGCGCCATGGCCCCACTGAGGCCGGGCGCACCCGCGGGGCTCCGGGCGCGTCGGCTGGCGCGCAGCTGAGTGGGGTGCAGGCTATAAAGGCCAGCGCCACCCCCCGGGGAGCAGGTTGAGGGGCCGGCGACATGGAGCCCCCGACCGCCACCTCGGAGAGGAGCCTGTCTCTATCTCTGCCCGGGCCTCGGGAGGGCCAGGCCACCCTCAAGCCGCCCCCCCAGCACCTGTGGCGGCAGCCGCGGACCCCGATCCGTATCCAACAGCGCGGCTACTCCGACAGCGCGGAGCGCTCGGAGCCCGAGCGGCAGCCACACCGGCCCATAGAGCGCGCCGACGCCGTGGACACCAGCGACCGGCCCGGCCTGCGCACGACCCGCATGTCCTGGCCTTCGTCCTTCCATGGCACCGGCACAAGCAGCGGCAGCGCGGGCGGAGGCAGCGGCAGGCGGTGAGACTCGGGGCGGCGGATGCGCGCGGGGCGCCGGGGAGCGCAGGGAGGGCGCATCGCGTCCCGCCGGCCGCAGGGGGCGCTGTGACGCGGGTGGGGTTGGTGTGACTGGCGGGGGCGGAGAGGGGAGTTCAGCTGCGGGGGCGTAGGGGACAGGGGTCTCTACCTGTACAACTACGAAAGCCAGCCCCGTGGTCGAACTAGGGGGCGCCATGCTGCGTGGGGGGTTAAGTGGGTCTGGGTTGGGGAAGGGGCCGCAGCTTTGAGCGGCCTAGACGGTGACGGTGCAGGACAGTGGTTAGACACGGCTATCACCTGGAGGGACTTTCCTGGGGGCATCGTACTGAGGGCTGGATTCACTGTTTGGGGTGTCCTGGCAGCACGCTAGGGGATACCTGCAGGGACCACGGACACTCAGGGTCCTCCTGGGGGGGTAGAAACCTCTGTGAGGGACCGTTGGTGACTTGTCCCACAGCAGGAGGGGCGGGAATGGACACGCGGCTCTGGGATACAGGGTGTCCTGCCTGTGTGTCAGTATGGAGCCGCGCTCGGGGCAGGAGCCGGGTTCCATAGCTGCCCAGAAGCAGGGGACAGTGCCAGGGGCACACAGCCCCAGCGCAGGGTGACGGAATCTCTGTCTTGCGATGGAGGCTGAGTCGGGGTTGCCCCGAGGATATCCTACCACTGACCTCAGTTTGCCCCGTTACTGTGTGACCAGCTGCCACTGCCTCGGCAGTACACTGTGCCTGGGCTACCGGGGTCCCTTTGTGCTCCAGGTTACCATGGCTGTGACACGGTAGCTGTGTGCCCCAGGCACGGCGACTGTGACGGCATGCCCTGCCTGCGCCACCATGCCGTGACTGCCACAGGGTGACTGCGTCCCCATGGGACACGGTGATTATGACAGCAACTGTGTGTTCCAGGAACACAGTGCGTTCTCAGGGCGATGGGCCGGGGGGCCGGGACGGCAGGATGGGGTGTGCTTCCCGGACAGTGTCGCTGTGACGTGGTGGCAGTGTGCACTGCCAGGAGGTGACTGTGAGAAGACCTCTGTGCTTCTGGAGCAGCGGCTGTGCCAGTGAGCACCCCCCGTGTGTGCTCCAGGGGCGCTGTGACTCTGCCCTCGGGGAGCAGAGTGTGACCGAGCGTGTGCTCCAGGACGGTGACTGTGAGATGGTGTCTGCGATCAAGGGACCAGCTGTCAAGGACGGCGTGCGCCCCCCGAACGCAGTGGCTGCCGCGCGGTCCTGGGTGTCCTCCTGGGGACAGTGTGGTGGCTTCCCTTGGCACTGTCCCTGCTCCCTGGGGTCCCGTGAGACACGCTGGCTGTGTTTTCACCTGCCCTCTGCACGTGTCTGAAAGTCGGAGCCCTGAGCTGGCGACTGTCCCTGTTGCCCACCTGGGATGCCCTAAAAGCTGGTGTCCCCTCACCACCCGCCATTCTTAGCGATCGTCCCTGGCATGGTGCAGCCCCAGGATCTGGCTGCGTGTGTCCCAGTCTCGAGAGTGACTGCCACCTTAACTCACCCATGCCTGCCTGCTGCTTGGAACATCCCTCGATGCTCAGATTTGAGTTTCGCACCACCGGAGTCCCCAAGTGTGACCCTAGGCTGTGACCTCTTTTTCCCAGGTCCCTCTGGGGACCTCCACCAGCCACCTCCACTTCTGTTCTGGCAACTCCCAGCCCCAGTACCCCAGCCACCAACCCCTGCGAAACAAATGATACCGACCCAACACACAACGTCTGATATTTCCCGAGAGAAGCAGAGAAGAGTCGAAGGGAAGCAAAGCTAAAGTCAACAGGAAATGCCAGGACCTGAGGCAGGCGGCCAAACGGGCCCAAGCCACTGTCCCGAGAGAGGGGTTGGGGATCGAGCTCCATTCCCTTTTAAGGCCCTAGGGATTTCTTCTACCCTGGTCTCCACGGCAGTGGCTCTCGAGGGACAGGGGCTGAGTGGTGATAATCATAATTACTTCAGTAACATCTGTCTCCTAACAGCTTTGTCTCAGGCTCCATGCCAGCGACTTACAGCAGGTGTTCTGTAAGGTATCCTGGTTGGGCAGAGGAGGAAACTGAGGCCCAGAGAGGCGCGCACACACGCCTGCTCGCACAACCAGAAACGGCAGAGCTGAGATTCCAGGTCAGGTCTGCCTGGTGCCTGTGTGTCTTTTCCTAAGCATCCTGCCCTCTCTGGGCCTCCCATTCCTGGCCAGAAAGTGAGGCTGTGGCTGGCATGGGCCTGCTGGGCAGTTTGAGAGTTGTGTGAGCTCGGATTTGTGTGAAGGACTTAACCTGGAAGTGCGAAGTAGATTATCTCCCAGGACGCCGGTGGACGCGGCTCCTCCGGAGTGGGGATTAAAGGAAGCTCTTCCACAGCCCGGGTTCTGCTTCTGTGGGCGGCTGTGTGGGCTCCGGCTGGCTGGGCTGAGAAGGCCCTACCCCTGATCCCTGAGTAGGAGCCAGAGGACCCCCAGGGCCTCCTTCAGGGACCCACATTTCTCCAGAAAGGAGGTTCTCCGGGGCAGCGCCCCACCTTGGAGTCCATCCAGCCACCAGCAAGCAGGTCCAGCCAGTCTCCTAGACTTGAGCCGTGGGGACCCCCAGAGAGGCGACGCTGCCCCTCCCCATCCGAGGCGGCACCTGCACTCCGGGCCCAGCCGGGGGGTGCAGGAGGCCGCAGTCCTGGCGCGCCCCGCGGAGGAGGACGGCCTGGAGGGAAAGAGCGCTGCCTGGCTCGGGGGCGGGCCCCGCGCGCCTGCCCCTCTCCTGGAGCCCCAAACCCTCGCCGTCGCGGGCCGATGGCTCCCGGAGCGGGTGCGAGGGCCGGCCGTGGTTCCGTCTCTAGCAGGTGGCCTCTGTCTTCCCTTGGGTCCTCACCCGCCCCTGCCCCCTGCGCTGCTCCGAGCCCGGGTGCTGTGTGTGGGTCTCGCGCGCGCCCCCTGCTGGACGGAGAGGAAGCGACAGCCCGCGTGCGCTCCGGTAGTCACCTGCCTCGGCGCCGCGCCCCGCGCTCCGTATTATTATTTCATGCGTATCGAGCGCCTGTGTTGCGGGCGCCAGGCCGGCTGACCGCAGGCCGCGGGGGAGGGGCGGTCCTCGCGCTGCCCGGGGTGGGACCCGATCGCCGTCCTCAGCCTCCACCCCCGAGGCGGCCTCCTGGCAGACGCGCAGGAGCTGGGCCGGGAAGTTGCGCGTGAGAAGTTCACGTCCCGCCCGCGCGTGTTCGCGCCCGCGCTTCCCTGCAGGCGCCCTCGTCGCCGGACTCCTACCCAGAAAACAGAAGCCAAGGGACTTGTGCAAGGTCACACGGCCCGGAAGGGCAGAGTTAGGATTTAAAACGTTCTGAGAATGGTGACCCGTGCCTGTCATCCCAGCACTCGGGAGGCTGAGGCAGGAGGATCACCGCCAGATTGAGGCCAGCTTGAATTACATAGGGAGACCCTGTTTCAAAAAAGCAAAACAAATAAAGGAGTCAGGGGATCGGAGGTGTGCAGATGGAGCTCAGCGTCAAGGCCCCTGATTCAAGCCCCAGGAGGGCGAAACAAAACCCTCCTCCCGTCTCCAGCAGCCGGTAAGAGTCAAAGCACAGCCTGGCTCACTGCCTTGCTGTGTGACCCGAACCAGACGGCCGGCCTCTCTGTGCCTCTTTCCTCATCGGTGAAACCAGGCTGAAAAGCAAGCGGCCACCCCCAGGGCTGCGGGGAAGCTGCAGGGCCGTGGGTGCGCTGGCACCCCGGGCCCCGCAGGAGAGAGCATTTCCGCAGATGACTTCAGCGCAGGTAACGCGGCCGCCTCAAGCCGTTCACTCGGCCCCACTCCTCTAGTGACTGACTGCAGGACACTCTGCATGCAGGAAACTGGGGCCTTGGTCCTGGGGAGATCTACAGCCTGACAGGGTGAGGATAGAGTTTTTGTTCCCTGCAGTACTGGGGATTGAACCCCAAGGCCTTCACCCTGAGCTCCATCATCCCCAGCCCTTTATACTTCTCATTTTGAGACAGGGTCTCGCTAAAGTCGCTAAGTGGCCCAGGCTGGGTGCAAACTTGCAATCCTCCTGCCTCAGCCTCCCCACGTGCTGGGGTGACAGGCGAGGGCAGAATTTTGAGGGGCATCTGCGCTCACTGTTTCTATTCCTCTGCCCTTTTCTTGCTCTGTGGTTTTCCCTGACAGAGCCTCAGTTTCCTCACCTATCATGGGAGCATTCATTCTACCGACACACGCTTGAGACCAGCGGCAGCTCAGAATTTGATAGAGCCAGTCCTGCTGCCTGGGCTTCACAGACTGGTGGGTGAAGCAGAAATAGCAGTGAAGATAAAGCCACCCGGTAATTATAGATGGTGACATGTGGGCTATGAGGAACAGAGGGAGCCTGAGGTCAGGCCAGGCTTCTCTGAGGAGGTGACATTTGAGCAGAGACCTAAATAAACTGAGAGAGGATGCTATGTGCAGATCTGATGGGAGAGGGATGCCAGCCAGAGAGACAGCAGCCAGTGCAAAGGTCCTGTGGTAGAAATGGGAGCCTGGGGCAGAGAGGAAGTGAGGGAGGAATGGAAGGAACCAAGGTGAGGAAGTGAAGGGGAGCTCAGAGCTCAATGATGGGCTAGAGATGGCTTCCTAAGGAAGGGGACAGAGGTCACAGGGCTGGAAGGAAACATGCACAAAGGGCCTGTGTAGCCTCATGGCTAAAATTCTAGGAGTCTCTGACCAAGTTCTCCTCCCTTCGGGATGGAGGACCCGGCCAACCTATGGCCCCTTTCTACTTTTTTTTTTTTTTTTTAATAAACATACATCCATTTATGAAATAGGATAGGAACATTACAAACTTTACACAGTTATGGATAGATTAGTAGGAAAATATCAATGGCTGCTGTAATACGTGGTGGGATCTTCAAAGTGGTTTCTCAGGAAGACAGAGATATGCAGGAAGGATCTAATAAGTAGTTACAGCCTAAGGGTTGTCAAAAATAGCATATTACCTCCTCACCAGTGACTCCTTTCA